TAAAGGTATACTACTATACCTCTTAGGATGACTAAAAAATATAAATTTTTAAACTTTGCCTAAATAAGTCTCATTTTGAACAGTTTCTTAGTTTAATGGATATAACGTGTAATACAGAGATTCTATTCTTTAGTCATGGCACCTGGTAAGTCCAACTGATGAATATATACTCTTATTAACCAAAATTGAGATTTATGTCCATTCTAAGAGATAGTGTTCCTTTAAGTAGAGCATCTACTTTCAAAATTACTACAAAGGTTATCTCCATTGTATCTTGACTTGATTTTGAAACTACTTCAAATTGACATTGAGTTGCTACAGAGATACCTGATTGAAAAAATAGCGAAGATTCTGTACATGTTTACTGTATGAATACAGTGGCAAAAACTACTTTCGTTTTACTAACTACTTGACTTGTACATGTTGACATTTATCAAAGGATAGAATATTCATTGAAGGTAATGTAGACAGGGTTTAAGAAATGTTGTGCATATTTTGCACGTTTCGCTGTGAAAAAGGTCTAAAATGTCATTATCGGGGGTTTATTTGGGTCTTGAATAATAGTTGAAGGTTTGGATATCAACCACTATGAGTTGAGCACACTATTAATCATTATTTAAGTTAAAAAAAATTATTGTTTCTGCTAAAATGGATGGCATAAGTCTCCCTTTAATATGTTGGATTTTTGCATTATATGCTGTTATTGCTTTAGTATGGGAAAATGTTGATTCAGATTTGCCAAATTTTTGGGTCCGCATGGTTAAATTTTTTGGTTCTGTTTTACGAAAAATGTACACAGGTTTGGAATATCAAAAATATCAAAAATTGTTGATTCAAAGTTTCAATATTTCATATTAAGTTCTTGCTTTTTTCACTTCTGTTCGTTTTCACTTCTTTTTGAGAAAAATCATACGAGGTAAATCTGTCACTGAACTCATGAAAATGTATAACTGTTTAGTCGTTAATGTGTCAAAAGTCTAGGCCCGAAATCAAACAATGTCTTTCATTTTGAAACAATTCATATGTAAGGAAGCTATAAGGTGTAAAAAATGTCGGAACTAAATTCCCTTGTGACAATATCTTGGCAGAAGTTGAGAGTTATGTTCAGTGTAAAAATAGGAATTGGAGTCAAGTGATCATCTAAAAGTGAGACATGTAAACTCTCTAAGGCATTCGTGATATTTATATTGGTTAGAAACAAGGTAGTCATTATGAGTTAGATATATAACTGGTACCAGACCAAAGGTTAGTTATTATGTTAGTATGGAATGTATGTCTTCTGGCTAAGTACTGACTCAATATTTTGGTACCAAATGATACGTGTTTAGTCTCTATTATTAGTACTGAATAATAGTAGGTTGGAATAGTACGTTAGTAGATTTCTACTATTGTTTGGAACAGTACATTAGTATTTTAGTATTTAGTTAGTCAAAGTACTGGGTGGTTTTCATGTGATTTCTTCAAAACTGATGTAAGGTAAGGTACTGAAATTGTTTTTAGCCCATTCCATGAAATTTGGTGCCTACAGAAAAAAATGATTGCGTAAATTTTGCATCTGAAACGAACTAACATTCAAACGAGTATAGGGAGTTTTCAATCTGGGGTAATTACCGCTAAGGGAGTATTTTGACTGAGGTAATGAGGTGCTTTGTAGTCTCGCATAAAATGTTTCGGACAGTTACTATTGAAGTCTTTCTATTCAGTCAAACTATTCTCAAAGAAAATCACGAAATAGTAAGGATTTATAGGGGAAAGGGAGGTAATGCATCAGGTCAAGAAACCTGAAAAGGGTAATTGAAAGAAAAAAGTTGAAAACCGCTGAACTAGCAAATGGTATGGAGAAAGTTTATATGATAATGATTGAGGTATTATCACAGGATAGCCAGCCATTAATAGATTATTTCATCAACAGACTTATTTTAGACAAAACCAATTAATCTGGCAACACTAACCAGATCAATTATCATATTAATCAAAATGTTCAACATTAATTGTATCATATTGCATGTCTGCTTAGTAACGCTCTGGCGACTAGCTGTTATTATTGATATTCTAGGTTGAAAAACCTGAAATTGTTCTGGTAGATTAGTTTATACGAAATTAGCTGCTAGATTTCAAGATAATCCTTGAAACGAGGTTTTTTGAGATTGCCAAGATGATTTTTGGCTTAAGACGCAAATAGAAGAGGTACAGTGTGTAGTGCCTGATTTTCGTTGCAGAAGAAAATTGTGGTGCGGACACAATACGGTTATTGTTTTTTCTACTGTATCTAAATCCTACACTAGGCAGAACAATGTTTATTCTCGCCTTAATAGAACTAGTCTGCTGAAATAAAAACTTGTGTCTTGGTTTTTGGTTGGTAGATGACAAGTTAACGTCACTTCCAGCGGATGCTGATATCGTAAAGTAGGTAGTTGTAGTAGTTGGTAGTTGGAATGATTCAAATTGGATGATTCTGTGTTGTTGGTTTGGTTGTTGATTCTTCGTTAGATCTGGTCGGGTCGAATGACATGGCGGTGAAAGGTGTGGCGTGAGTTACTCGATCTTCTTCATTCTTCCAAACTCATTCTGATCATTGTAATTCTTGTTGATTGGTAGTCGAATGGTGGTTGGTTTGGTGTTTGCAATATTTACGTTTTAATGTAATGAATATTCATAGATTTAAAATGTTTTTGACCTGGAACTATCTATTAAAATGTGTAAATAGAATAGTTTATATTGTACAGCAATGTGTTTAAAGTAATGAATATTCATGAATTTAAAATGTTTTTGACCTGGAACTATCTATTAAAATGTGTAAGTAGAATAGTTTATATTGTACAGCAATGTATTTAAAGTAATGAATATTCATGAATTTAAAATGTGTTTTTGACCTGGGACTATCTATTAAAATGTGTAAATAGAATAGTTTATATATACACAGCAATGTGTTTAAAGTAATGAATATTCATGAATTTAAAATGTGTTTTGACCTGGAAATAACCATGTATTAAAATGTGTAAATATCAAAGCTGTTATCAATGTGTATTATGGTGTGAACTGTTATTTGTCTATTATTTATTATCATTCAATATAAATGTCAAGCCTTTTATAACACTACAATCTGGCCTGGTAATTGGTTAAACTGTTTATAACCTTTTCTATTATTCTCAATCATACTCTTAACTCTTTTATTACATCCTGCAATCAAACTGCATACTGCAATTGTGCATTTATATTGAAAAATTCCACATTTAATTTCTCTAGACAGCGTTTCGTTTAGAAAAGGCGTCTACCAGTTGATGAACTTAAAGGTTTACATTGTAGCATTCAACAGCTGTGTCTGTTAAACACATGAGGGTCTGCACAATAGGGCAAATGGGGTCAGTTGCCCCCCTGGAAAAATGAATCAACATCTTAAAAGCCAAAATGTGCAATACGAGCAGTTTTCTGAATGGTTAGATAAAGTACTGAAATAACTGTTTTGTTAACAAAGCATCTATAACGAGTGATTTGATTTGATTGGCTGAGACTTCCTAGAAATGTTTCAGAGCCAATTTTGATTGGACAATGTTTATATGAATACTTAAATTCTTTGATTTGTATTACCATGGCCTCGAGGAAGTATGATGAATGGGGGTGTGGTTAGGACACGATGAGGGGGACAAGAACCTCACATGATTTTGATTCATAGATTTTGTTCTGGTAGCTGCCAGCAACACAATCTATGTGTAAAGACTAGTATATTAAACAAATGTTATTTAACATTGTTGATACAATATGTACAACTTAATGACATCTATATCCAGTATTTAATATCTTTACCACATACAAAAATAAACTTACTCATATTCTCAATGTTTAGATTACATATATTTCTGCATATAATCCTTGTTTTTATAACAGTAGGTGTTCTTAATGACTTTGTTATATTTATCTGTTATGCTACTACACAAAACTAGCTATTTGACTTTAAAGATGGGTTTCCTTATTTTCTTAGTGTCAAATTAAGCAAACTATTTGATTAATTGGTGTTTCGAATGAATTATCATGTATTCTTAATCATATCATTATGTTCTTATTGCATATAATTAAGAGTTTTAACCAATCATAAATGTACAGTCTGGATAAAAAAAAAGAAGACTTTTTGACCTTTCTTGATTGGTCACTCATTAGAATTCTGCTGGTAATTCTCTTCTAATTTAGCTTATTTAAATTAATTATGGACATGTTAGACAAACTGGTATTTTTCCAAGTCATTAGAACACCTCTACTTTCTATTTATATGAGTATATAGAAATAAGGGAACCCATCTTTAAGGTTTAGTCTACTGTTTTGTTGTTTCTAAACATTTTACATAAATATTTAATGTTGGATGCTTTTAGCAATTGTTATGAATGAATTCCCATTGGATTACTCAACTGTATGTAGACTTAAAAAAAAACTACAGAATTTGATTGTGAACAGAATATTTAATGTTTGATAGGTTGAATTTGAAATTTTGTATAATGATTTAGTTTTGTTAGCTAGTCTTAATGGTAGATGTAAATCTTCATAGGATTTATCAAAGACAAAATTCAAATGGACGCTTATTTGAATCTTAACTGGTACATTATAGTAAAAATTGAAAGAATGAAATAATATTCTCTATACCTTTGCATTGAAATTCTTACCTGATTCAATATTCATGATTGTCATTTTTAGACATTAACAAATTATAGTTAATCCTTTAAGATATTTAAGGGTAGAGATCACATTAAATAACGAAACACAATTTAATGGAATACTACTCCTTAGTTTTATTGTACACAATGTGTCATCAATTTACATTGTCATCATCAGGTGAAATGAAACTAAGGAGTTGAATACCGTAAAATTGTGTTCCATTATTTAAAATTACAATTTTTATATGTTTTATTACATATATAGTTTGAAATGATGAATAGTGACACTTACAAATTTTTTTTTCTAATTGCAGGTACTTAGTACAAAATACCTATGCAAGTTACAACCGCAACAAGATGGAAGATGTGGTCGGAGATGAATTCCGTTCCATTAACCATTCTGAAAAAATGATGCGAAAAATGGAAGGCTACGTGGCCAAACGACAGTTATGTGATGTGATTATTATAGCGGGTCAAAAACGTATTCCTGCCCATAGACTAGTGTTAAGTGCAGCTTCGGACTATTTTGCAGCGATGTTCACAAGTGATGTACGTGAAAAGACTATGGATGAAATAAAAATTAAAGATGTAGATCCTGATGCTTTGACAGCTTTAATAAATTATACATATACAGGTAGGTTATTGGGGAAAGCCATCTTTAAATTAAAATCTTTTGTAGTTATTATTTTTGCGCCATTAAACAGGAATTTGGAATGATGCAAAAAAACCATCAAATGTCATCAATGTACATGACCTCTAGGAAAATCTCTCTACAATCAAATTAAAGGATAAGTCAAATCCAAATAGCTTATAGTGCAGTGGTTTTTCCCTTCTGACAAATTAATTTGATCCAAAAAAAAAAAATGTGACAGTAAAACGTTTTCAAGATAATATTATACCAAGCCTGAACAGAAATTTCCACAAATATCAAAATTGAAGCTATGACCATGTCCATCTGCAATATTTGATATTCTGAGATCCCTATTGAATAGAATTGAGCTCAATTATTGTTGAAAATTGAGGTCAAAGACCTCCCAAGTCTGAAGGAATTTTTGTTTGATGTGAAATGGAATTCAATAGAAGATTAATTCTATCTGGAGCCTTGGAGACAAGACAGATTGGTAGGATATCAGATGATAATAATAGAATTTGAACTCGCCAAGAGTAACTAGTATCTTGTCCTGTCATCAATATGAGTCACACGATTGTCTCGTCAACTAGTTACAGTACTAATCTTAGTGTCACACTAACATGTTACTATGACCAATGTGATGACCAACACTTTGTGACATTGACACAAGTTTCTTGAGAGCAGTGAGTCATTAGATCAAATATATTGTTCTGTTCTAAAGATTGAGAATTTGCCTGAAGAAATAAACCAATACTAACGATTTGCACCCCAAAACGAAACCCGAAATTCAAAACAGCATTTTGTTGTAACATTGGTAGTAGTAGCTAATGAACTTTTCACATGTGGAAGTATGATATCAATAAATGAAAAGTGTTATCAGGTGTCTAGAAGAGTAAGCATATCCTGCCTGGCGCCTGACATGCTTTATTTATATGATAAAAAACACAAGGGGTATATTATGGTATAACTCACTTATTTTATAACAAAGCACATAACGTTTCAACACAATTTACATGGTCGTCATCAGATGCTTTATTTTTGGTCAAAGGTCAGCTTTTGAAGGTTTTGATTGCTAAAAATTTGTGAATTTGACTTAAAAAATGTATTAAAGGGATTGTAAAGAGGTTTCTAAATGTTGTGATTATGACTGATAGCTGCGATTTCCCCCATTCTAATTTTTAGTCAGATGTTTGTGGTTCATATTATTTCACTAAAACTAAGCGCTTTTTATGATATCACTATCAAAATAGCTGTATGATTAATATCTGAGGGCTGAGTTTGAAGATTTAAAAAAAAAAAAATTCCGTTCTAGAGAATAAGGTTTGATTGGTCTGATGGCAAACCTGTCCCTTTAAAACTTGAACGAGACATAAAGTAGCTCGAAGGGAGACAATAATATGCGTGTTTCAAGTTAGCTAATCCCTCTCTCCAATATTGTCTAATACTTTAATCTTGTGTAATGAACATCACACAAAGACCAGACAAGCTCTCCATGAGACCTGTTAAATATCATTTGTCCACAATCACAGAAAATAATGCTATCTTTTCAACTTAATTTCCGGAATATTTGATTCCAATGTTTTATTAGATTGAAATTGATGATTTGTCATTCAAATTTGACAGAATTATTGGTACTTTTGTATCTTTTAACTCTTTGAGATTTTCTTTGACCAGTCAGTGTACTGAGTTGAAATTGATAGTGAGTTGTATTGAAAACTACTCAGTAATTAGTTGAAATTGATAGTGAGTTGTATTGAAAACTACTCAGTAATCAGTAGAAATTGATAGTGAGTTGTATTGAACACTACTCAGGGTAATCAGTTGAAATTGATAGTGAGTTGTATTGAAAACTACTCAGGTTAATCAGTTGAAATTGATAGTGAGTTGTATTGAAAACTACTCAGATTAATCATTTGAAATTAATAGTGAGTTGTATTGAAAACTACTCAGGGTAATCAGTTGAAATTGACAGTGAGTTGTATTGAAAACTACTCAGATTAATCAGTTGAAATTGATAGTGAGTTGTATTGAAAACTACTCAGATTAATCAGTTGAAATTGATAGTGAGTTGTATTGAAAACTACTCAGGGTAATCAGTTGATTAAAGAAAACAACTCAGTAATCAGTTGAAATTGATAGTGAGTTGTATTGAACACTACTCAGGTTAATCAGTTTATTAAAGAAAATAACTCAGTAATCAGTTGAAATTGATTGTGAGTTGTATTGAACACTACTCAGGGTAATCAGTTGAAATTGATAGTGAGTTGTATTGAAAACTACTCAGGGTAATCAGTTGATTAAAGAAAACAACTCAGTAATCAGTTGAAATTGATAGTGAGTTGTATTGAAAACTGCTCGGGGTAATCAGTTGATTAAAGAAAACAACTCAGTAATCAGTTGAAATTGATAGAGAGTTGTATTGAAAACTACTCAGATTAATCAGTTGAAATTGACAGTGAGTTGTATTGAAAACTACTCAGGGTAATCAGTTGAAATTGACAGTGAGTTGTATTGAAAACTACTCAGGGTAATCAGTTGAAATTGATAATGAGTTGTATTGAAAACTACTCAGGGTGATCAGTTGAAATTGATAATGAGTTGTATTGAAAACTACTCAGGTTAATCAGTTGAAATTGACAGTGAGTTGTATTGAAAAGGCTGATTTAAAATCACTATGGTTAAAAGTAATCATGTGTTTTCAGAGAATTTGAAGATTAAAAATATGATACAAAAGTGAAATTAACGTTCTTAAAAGCACCAACAGCCATACAGGAAATTACAACACTAGTAGAGCACTTTAATTACAGACTATGGCATGTGACATTAGTTCTAGAACAAAGGCACTTAAAATTTCATTAAGTCTTTATTTCATTAGAAAACGGCACTTAGACATGTGTATGATTAACATTTCCATTCATCAAAGGTTTTTATAATTAAAACAATTTATGATAGTTAATAAATAGACTTAAGGTTTACGCTTGTCAAAAAATAATAATTAGACTGAATAATTCCATTGAATTAGAAATTTGATTGATCTTTTGAAAAGAATTGTAGGTTATTTTGTATTCCATTGTAATGAAATATTCAGATATTGATCAAAATATGAAATTTGTGACTTTTAAAACTGGTTCTGTGAGTTAGGCGGGTCCAGGGATAAATCCCACTATCAGAATTTTCAACCAAATTTCTCTCTATCAGTGATGTGGGTAAGCAGGGCAGACATCAAAAAAGCATCTAGTTGTTCAGATGGGACAATAAACCGAAGCCTCATGTGCTACAGGCTTTGCATCCCTCAACAGTTGGAAATCGAAAAAAAGTAGGCTTATGCAGCTGTCCTAGCTAAATTTCCCTCATTGCATACTGCATGGCATTGTCCTTCTTTACTCACCCAATCAGGTACAGAAACGTAGGACGTAAAACTCCATTCATTTCAGATCAAAAAATGATATTTGACCAATGCAGTTGGTTTTCAAAATAGATTCAGCAGGAAATATTTGATGTGAAGTTAATTCCTAACACTATGATCAATCTATCAGATATTTAGTTTCTATTTTTGTATTTTAATGATATTTTTTCCAGTCTGCAGACAATGAGCAAACACAATGAAAATTGGACTCAAAAGATGTACTTTGACCAAAATGTTTGGTTTTCCAAATAAATTTTAACAACAAAATATAAAGTAAATTCCTAACTTTATGATCAATCTATCAGATATTTAGTTTCTATATTTGTAGTTTAATGAAATTTTTCGAGACTGCAGACAGCGAGCAAACACACTTTACCAATATGGCTGCCATTATTTGTCATTTTCAAATAAAATTGTCATGTCAACCTGTATTTGTCATAAATATCGATAGGTCAATAAAACTGATAATAAGCTGTGTGAAGCACAAATCATCTGTATTATTGACAGTCTAGAAATATTAGATCAGAACCTGAAACCTGTTTCATGATGTGCGATCTTCAGACAACTGACCTAACTCTTCATTTTTCAATATATTTTGATTGGTCTGGATTTACTAAAACATGTATGATCTTTAAAATGATGATCAAGTTTGAATTTGGTGATTACTTCTGATGAATACAGAGTGATTGCCCTTGTTCTTTGAAAGTTTGAAGTTTTCCTGTGTCCTAGTTAATGATTTTTTGACAATGAAGCAGAGTTATTGCCTTTGATCTTGAAAGATTTAAGTTGATAATTACTTTTTGAACTAAGGAATGAATCTTTTGTAAGTTCTGGTTGTTTTCAGCTGGAATAAATACTTACAATCCAAAATTAAAGGAATTTTAGCAAAAATATATTTATAGCCAGTGGATAGGATTTCATTTACGGGGGGTTTGAGGCACTTATATCCTAACATACTTTTGAAGATTTTAGAGAGGATTAGTTCTTTTGGGGAGGTCAGTGCCTTTCCCTGGAAAATTTTCTAATGCTGTAAGCCGCAGAATACATCTAACAACTTTAGGAGTGAAAGTAGAATAAAAATTTTCTCATTTTTTATGGCCGAGGGTGAGGCCTTGGTCCAAAAGTTACTGCCTCAATACACCATTGTTTAAGTTTATAATAATATTTTTCATATTTGTTGATATTTTATTAACAATAAAATGAATAAGTGGACATCTAGATAGGTTTTAAGATAAGTGTTAAGGTCAAAAATTATTCTAAAATAAATCATAAAATTCACCTTGTCAGCATTTATTATCTTACCTGTCAAATATTGAACATATTTATTGAATATTGAGTTTATCATTTTTATTCAATTTTCTAGTATTTTTGATGGATAGATCCATTAGCTTTGACTTGTTCAAGATTTTAAGTAGAGGTCACAGGGTTAGATTTGGTTTAATTGAATATAATTATTATTTTTTATATATATATATACATTAAAGAGATGAATTCAGAAGGTGGATGTTGAAATATAGAAATTCATTAACAGATATATATTCCATATAAACCTAATGCAAGCGTAAAACTTACTGTTTTTATGTGTTTTGGAGTTGGAGGGGGGGTTAACATTAAGAGCTGTCATTAGGATGGTTCAATATTCATGGGCCTCATGTTCTGAAAGATGTACATGTTAAAGATCCCTCAACACTCAAAACAATGTAGGCTTATGCTACTTTCCTGGAAAAAATTTCCCTCATTGCATACTGCACGGTGTTGTCCATCTTCATTAGCCTAATATAAGGTGCAGAAAAGTAGGAAGTAAAACTCATTCATATAATTTCATTTGAATTAGTCAAACTGGAAGATGTCTTGAAGTTTTTTCTTTAAATTTTATCAATTGATATTTTGGAATTCATTAAAGTAATACTATACGTCTTAAAATGAACATAAAATTTAAGTTCTCGAAATGGTCAATATGAGTATATATTCATCAGTGAACTTACCTGGTGTCATAAAGTTACAACAGAATCCCTGTAAAATCTAGAAAATTGGAAAATTCATAAACTAAGTAATTATTGAAAAATGCTTAATCTTGATATTATGACTATTTTTCAATAGTTAAATGTATATTTATGGATAATTACTGAGTTTTAGATTTATCGGATTATATAAGGATAACATAGTAAACTGCAGAAAACAGGATGTAAAACTCCATTCAGTTAATTTCATTTGAATGAGTCGAACGGAAATACATTTTTTTATACAGCTAATGAAATTTTATCAATCTGTATTTTTGCAGGTAAAATAGAATTAAAAGAAGAAACAGTAGAGAGTTTGTTATCCACTGCGTGCCTTATTCAGTTATCAGAGGTGGTAGAAGCCTGCTGTAGTTTCTTAATGAAACAATTACATCCGTCCAACTGTATCGGTATACGCCAGTTTGCTGATATACAAGGCTGTTCAAATCTATTTAAAGTTGCCAATAATTATGTTATGGTAAGTAAGATTTTCCATTCTAATTAAAAGTAGACCAAACTTTCGTTCCGTTTTTTATTAATTTTAATTTTTAATTTACCACTTAAGTTAGGGTCTTTAGACAGGCATCTTGATATTCATCCATTTGATGATACCAGCAGCCAATCAAATTTATTCCCTCTCCAACACTGGGATTTTATGATGCGAAAGTAAAGGTGCATTCAGTATCTAATACTGCTTCTCGGAATACATCTTTTGTTCATGTTCCACTACATGAGTACTCAATGGACTAAATTATTACGAAATTTCATCTCTATTTTTTTTATCTGTTTGCAGGAAAATTTTGTAGAAGTGATGAACAATCAAGAGTTTTTTATTTTACCGTTTGAAGAAGTGTGTAAATTATTAGCCAGTGATGATTTAAATGTTCCCAATGAAGAGACAATATTTGAAGCTTTAGTCAAATGGGCAAAACATGATCTCCCCAACCGAAAAAAATTCCTTCCAAAACTTTTAATTCATATCAAACTTCCATTGATGTCACCTCAGGTAAGTTGTCAATTTCACAAAGATTTTGCTGAATGACAGAGATTTTGAAGAGGTTTTCTAGCCTCAGTTTGTGTTCAAAGACACTTAGGGATTGTGAAGAGATTTCTGAATTTTTTTATATGTAACAGGGACACTAATAGCCTCAATTTTCAGTCAGTTGTTTGTGGTCCCTGCAATTCCTCTTAAACTAAGTGTTTGTTGACGTCACTAATCACAAATGCCTCAACACATAAGGCCCTTCAAACACTTAGTTTTAGTGGAATTGCTGGAACCACAGATGTCTGATTGAAAATTGGAATAGTGCAAATTGATGTCCTTGATAGTACACATAAAGAATTTAGAAAACCTCTTTACAGTCTCTTTAAGATGGTGGTAATGTTTATGTTAAGATAGTCTAGAAGATTAGTGATAATGTTACCAGATTAATTAGAAACTATCATATCCTATCATCTTATTATATATCTCATATTGGCCTATTAGATATCTGTCTGTCAGATAGTCTTGTCTTTATGTCATCAATATATACTCTTTACACTGTCTACATAATGTTAATAGTCTATTAAAGGGAACATTAAGACTGATTTAACATTTTTATAGTTAGTTTCAGATAATAAATTCCTTGTGATGTTGTGATGTCATAACTTTGGAAATATTAAGGAAAATCATGTAAAAAAACTGTAAATGGCTATTTAATTTATCAAGAATATTAATTGCTTCCACCTGATAAAATTGTATCAGAGATAACTTGGCATTTGTAAGGGTGTATTTGAGTAATTTTGAAGTCACATTCATGGAAACTCTTAACCAGAGCAGTGTTCTTGTTGATGCTGGCAATGCCAATTTGCACCAATACATTTTTCAGTCAGATGTCTGTGGTTCCTGCAATTCCACTAAAACTAAGCATTTGACATCACTGTCACAAAATATGTTGATATTGTATAAGGCCCTTTGCAATATAGTGAATCGCTTCGTTAAAGTTAAATTGCAGGAACCACAGACATCTGACTGAAAAATGAATTGGTGCAAATCAATGCTATCAGTGTCCCTGTTAAAAGTTTAAATATCATCTTTACAATCCCTTTAATAGTGCAATCTTTAAAAGGTTTATAAATTATTTTTATTTTTTCAGTTTATCGCGGACCATGTTCATAATAATCCATTATTTCAAGATGATAAAGAATGTCAGACATTGATAATGGAAGCCTTTAAATATCACTTATTACCAGAACGAAGATCATCATTCCAATCTCCACGAATTAAACCCAGAAAATCTACAGTGGGTGTTCTTTATGCTGTTGGTGGTATGGACTGCACTAAAGGTAAAATTGCTATCTTATCATAGCATTGTTGATTTGCTAAGAGATTTTCTTGTTAAAAATTGTTTAAGTTTAATAAACATAATGAATGGAATTGTATGGTTTCAATTTTTTCTATTCTTCCTAAAATAGTCTTGTTTATTTTTTGAGTTTTTCTGGATTTGCTCAATCTAATAATTTTCATGAAATATTCGTATTACATTTTGGTTCTTTTGAATTTTCATGCATTCCTGATTTTGTATAAATTTTTGCTTAAAATGATGAAATCGTGATTTTTACAGGAGCCACAAGTATAGAAAAATATGAATTACGAACCAACACATGGACACAAGTAGCTAATATGAATGGTAGAAGATTACAGTTTGGAGTAGCAGTGTTAGATGAGAAACTGTATGTTGTTGGTGGTCGTGATGGATTAAAAACATTAAATACAGTGGAATGTTATGATCCGAAAAAGAAAACCTGGACACTGATGCAACCTATGTCAACACACAGGCATGGTTTGGGTGAGTTTTAGCCAAATTTGATCAACAGATCAGCATTTCTCTATTAAAAATGATTGCAATGTATTAACTTTTGCTCTGGTAGATGTCTTATTTGCTAAGATTACTCTATAAATCTTCAAGGTAAGAAAAATTCTTATGCCTGTGCCATTGCTTCTGAGAGTCAGTCTGGTGTCCGCTTTCACCCCCTAATACCTATAAAGATAGTTTGATTTGTAAACTGTTTTATTTCAGGTGTTGGTGTGCTGGAGGGACCAATGTATGCAGTAGGTGGCCATGATGGTTGGTCCTATCTGAGTACAGTAGAAAGATGGGACCCACAAGCTAAACAATGGAGTTATGTAGCTCCAATGTCTACTATGAGGAGTACTGTTGGTGTGGCAGCTTTACATGGAAAGTAAGTAACTTTGCAGTTGCAAGATTTTATTTACATTGCCTGGACTTGATATAGAATAAGGAGTCGCTTGTTTTTGCAAGTCCTTGGATGGAAGATGGTACTGCCTGGCCCCACTTGGTTAGTAAAGTGCTTGATTGGGCAACTGTGAGAATAATTTGGTTTTTCAAGTTCTTCAGCTTTCTCCCAAAACAAATCCAAACCTTAGCTACATAGCACTGTCTCGTCGACATCTTTGCAACAGTTTGCAGTGCCTAAGATGAAGCTAATTGGATAAAGTAAACCAATATCCAAATTTATTGATAAAGGTGTGTGGTTTAAACAAAGATCTGCTGAAGTAGAAATTGAAAAAAAAAAAAATCTTTTGCTATCCATAGTTTATTCTTTTTTTTTATTATTTACTCTCCAGGTTATATGCTGTTGGAGGTAGAGATGGTAGTTCTTGTCTTAAAACTGTGGAATGTTTCGATCCTCATACTAATAAATGGACCAACTGTACCCCTATGTCTAAGCGAAGAGGGGGAGTAGGTGTTGCTAATTGTAATGGATTCCTGTACGCTGTAGGTGGTCATGAAACACCAGCTACTAATCCAACATGTAGCAGATTTGATTGTGCTGAAAGGTTGGTATGATTCCTAAGATTTTGTTGCAGCATCAATTGTCTGAAACAATGCCATACCTTTCTTTTACCAGCTTTCCAGCTTTCCAACTTAGGAAAGCACAAAAATTTGGGTGGAAAACCGTTGATGAACTTTCTATATATATTTGGCCACTTCAGAAACTCTTTATAACATTTCCTTCTTTACTCAAGAACCATAATTCCTTTTGTGGTCAAAGGGGGATAATTTGAAGTCATTGGATGATTTGCAAAATTCAAATAAGCTCTTGTTTAATTGAAGGAACTTATCAAATTTCAGATATGATCCAAAAACAGACCAATGGACAATGATAGCACCAATCGGATGTCCGCGTGATGCAGTAGGGTTATCTCCCTTGGGTGATAAAATCTTCGCTGTTGGAGGCTATGATGGTCAGCAATATTTAAATGATGTTGAATGCTATGATCCTGTTACTAATGAATGGACAAAGGTGAGTTTAGGGGAATACTTGATTTCGCATCTGTGATTTGTCTAAGGAATTTATTTTGTGATAATCCAAATCTAAGTCTAGAATCTTAAAGTTTCATAGCACAATTCTCATTTTTTATTACTTACTGAACCACATAAAATGATCAAGCATTCTGAACCTGCAAATCACTAACAGTGAGCTGTTGTGCGCTTGTTTACTAACCTGAAGATCCAGGGTTCAATCCCCGCATAAGTTGAGATTTTTATACCTGCTTTCTCCTTGTCTCAGGGGCAGACATGGAAAAAGCGATTGGCTCAAGAAAGTTGGAAATTGAAAAAGAGTAGGCTAATGTCGTGGCCTTGGCAAAATTTCTTCATTTGATTTGCATGACCGTCTGCTTTGGCAAAAAGTAAGATGTAAATCTCCATTCATTTCATTTCATTTTATTTCAAAACACTGACTTATAATGTGTTTTTCAGGTTTCCTCCTTATGTACTGGTAGAGCAGGAGCATGTGTGGTTCATGTACAATCAAGCTGACTATCACTCAAACGATCATTAGCTTTGCTGAAAAAATGGCCGTCAGGACTTTTACATCTGAAAAAAGTGAATCTCAGTATCTTCATGGTTGTAAAATATTTATCATAGTCAAAACACATCATTTATTTATCATATCGTACTTTTCTCAGGCAAAATCATTC